CATAAATAATTTACATGAAAACCCTCTACTAAGATATCCTGCAATTTCACAAAGAATGAACACATGTTCTGAGAATACATAAGGATTGCTAAAATTAGCTTGCTTTAACACGCCTAGGAACAACACGTGAAGCTGCTGTTGCCGTTTTCTGACATAGCTGATCATGTTGCTCACTAGTCATAATAATTAAATGCTCTTTTTCTGTTTGGGTTTGGGGTTTCTTCATATATTTTTTTCTTAGCGCTGCTTCCAGATTAGGGAAAAAAAAAACACCTTGCTAAAACTTCTGAACAATGTTGACTGGTAAAGGCTGTAGAACAACTATTGCTGCAATAAATAGGATTAGTTTTGGATTACTTTCTCTACAAAGACTCTGCAGCAGTGCCTTACTCCTCCTTGCTGAAAAACATCAACCCTTTCAGGTCTCCATGGTTATCTCACAGAATGAAAAGTAAAAGCATTCTGGTATGATTATATAAAAACTTGTAAAGGGTAAGTGCAAACTAAAAAAACAGTGTTTGAGGACTAAACAGTGCATTTTCAGATGGCTGAGCCTGTGTGCATGTATGGTCAGGGAGACAAATGGAAACCTTAAACTGTGCAGCATGGGATGGACCTTGGTTTGGGGAAGATATGGAGCAGGCCTTAGTGATTTATTATTGTGCCTTTTGAACAGGTGCCTATCAATTTGAATAAAGCAACAAGAAATGATAATTAGCTGAACTATGTTTGAAAACTACACAAGTGGCTTAATTATTAGATTTAAACGTCGGTAAATTACAAAATATTCAGAATTCCTAAAGCACCTGTACAGAAGAGATTTAAGAATGTAGTTAAGTCTAGTCTTGCACATGGATGTGCATTCCATTGAAGCAGGGGAGGTGTGAATTTCTGCCATGTTCTGTAGATGTAAGATACAATTAGAACTGCTTAGGGATAGCGTTGCTTACATGAATTGCTTCTCCATTGTTTTTCATTTACGAATAAATGTGCTTGGTGTGACTACTCTTGTTTCACAGGGATCTCAAACAGCAGAAAGTATTCGGTATGCAGTGGCTTGCAGATATGTAATATCCACAAGCTGTGTGTCCCAATATTGATTACAGGTATTTTATGTTTACAGACAATTCAAAGCTGGGAGGACTGAAGTATACCAAGAGAGGTTTAATACTGTTGTGGAGAAATAGTCTGAGAAAATCAGGATGCAGTTCAGGGACAGATTCCAAGTACTGCTCTGTTTAGATGGTATTTCTTATCTAAAATGTGGTATGGGGAATGGATAGTGGTACTTAGGTTAAGCGTGAGTCACCAGTGTTGTGTTTCTATAAAAAAATAAACATGCTGTGGAGATGTGACAAATATCAAGTATTTAAAAGACTTGAAAGTAGAAAGAGAATAAGCTGTCTTGTGGGCTAATGGGAGTAGGAAAAAATAAAATGGGCTTAAATCATAGTATCGTTACGTTATTTTTGCTAGGCATATTGAAAGCACTGGGACTGTGGAGGCTTCTCTGCCTGCTTGTTTGTAAGCTGGTCAGACAAATATCTGTCAGATATAATAGATACTGCCATGGGCCTAGATACGTCTTTCAGTTCCTACCACCTCTGGGCTCTATTATTCAATATAGTAATAAAACTTTCCAAGTAGTCTCATGCAAATATGCATAAAGATACAATTCAAAGGGAGTATAAAGCCTTCAGTATAAAGCACTGCACGAGATATGCAGTTTTCCTCCAATGTAAAATCTACTTCTGTTTACAGTGAAGTAAATAGTCAAGCTTCTAATTTAGCTTTGATTTCATATTGTCATCTCAGTTGCACTCCTTATTCACAGTATCTCATCCAACCCACACATCCCTGTATCAGAATAATACCTTTGCCACCTTCCCCCTGGTGGATTGGGACAACACAGAAAAAGAAACAGAAACCTCCATGGCCAACAAACTCAAGTTGATACTGTTGATGCATCAAGTTGATACAAGTTGATACATCAATATGATACTGTGTTGAAAAGGCAACGCTTATTCTGTGGTGTATTAAATAAATATCATATGTAAAGCACTGGAGATAGTTGATCTACCCCACTCGGCATCAGCTGGGCTGCTACTGCAGGACAACATACCATTAGAAAGAATTGAGAGGACAACAACAAATACAAACACTTTAGAAAACATGATCTGTAAGAGATAGCAGAATGCAGTGTAGGGATGGGAAGTGGGCCACTCTTCCTCTCATTTAGGTGTCTGACTTACACTTCAGCTGTATATGTTTAGTGAAGAGTATTTAGTGTTTAATGAGGTGTATATGTATATATCTGTGTGTATAACAACCACTCTTAAGGGAAGCATATTAACTCTTGTAATCTGTAAAAAGCAGTTACAAAGTCAAGAGCAGACTCTTGAGCAAGAAGATGGAAATCTCATTTCATATCAAAACCTGTGTTCAAGAAGGGCTTCTGTCTAAAGCAAGACAAACTCTATTATGTTGCTGTTTCTTTAACATTTATGTGGGAAAATTTTAGAAATAGGTTACCCAAATATCTTTCAGGCTCCTCTTGATATGCTGAATTTTGTTCTCAACAGGTCCATCCCCATTTTGGGTCATTTCCCAAACCTAATTTACTTTGTTTTCTATTATTTAATAGGGTCTGCTCTTGGTATTTGTAATTAACTTGTGCACATACATGCGCACACACACACACGTGGGACTTGGTAACGGGTGATTGCCTCTGCTGTGCACAAACAAGGAGGGTTCATAAGGCAGTTCATGCTTTGCATTCTTTCATTATGGCCCAAATGTGCCTATGATTAGACCACAAAATGGGAGTATGTGTAAAATATGTACTTTTACACTAGCTCACTGATCCAGAATACTTTTACCAGTCCACAGTAGAGATGAAAAAAAAAACCTGAGAGACAATTTAAAGAGGTTTTTTTTTTTAAATGAAGATCAAATGTGTTTGATTTTATATTGCTGAATTTTCAATCAGGAGAAGCTGCGTTTTGTTGTGTGTCGTGCAGGCACGTAAGTCTTAATTTTCACCTCAAAGTGCTTGAGTTTGTCTGACTCCAACTTCTACTTATCTGATTACAATGCCATTTGCTAACATGAAAGACACTGAGAAGCGCCTGTTTCATGTTACGCACCTGCATAAACATGGAGGTGTCGCAGTGCAGAAGGTGTCTCTAAACAAAAAGGAACAGAACTGATCTCGTGTTGTCTCTCGGATGTAATGTTTTCAGATACCTAACACCACTAACACTACCTTAATCCACTGGGTAAAGATCTTTGCAGACTGAAATGACTCAGGATTTTGCACAGCTATTCAGTGCAGTCAAAGGACTTCTGAGAGCATTGGAAACCACTGCAGAAAGGAAGTTTTAGGTAATTAGCATTATATAGTTTGGGGAGCAGGTTTTAAGGCTTGCTTTTTGTGTGGTTTTTTGTTTGTTTTTTTTTTTTCTTCCTGATAAATAAACTGAATTTCCTAACACCTTCTATTTCTTTTTCTTATTTTAAGTTCATTTTGCAAAAATGTATGATATATAAGCTATCAAAAGGGTTTAAAATTAAATTGCACCCTTTATTAAGAAAAAACACACAAACTGTTACTGTTTAAGTAACACATGTCTATTTTAGGTAGTGCAGTGTTTCTGTTCATGCAGCAGTATCCCAAGTAACTCTTTTGTACAAGGAATAAATATTTGAAATAAAGGCTGAAGTATGTGCAGACTAATGTCTGTGAAACAGTAATGGAAACCCATCATTACTTAAAAGTTTGAAAATTTTGAAACTTCATTGCTTTCCTCAATTTCCTGTGGGACATAAAGAAAAATCTCAGAGATTTTTCCCATTATCTGTAAGTGACAGTAGACTCATCTGTTAATCATCAATTTCCTCATTGGAAGTTCTTACCTGGAATTTTATAGAATTCTTCTAAAATATAATTTCACTTCTATTGAACAGTAAATTCCTTGAAATAATTACAATCTGGTAGAATATATTTGCATCTTTCTTACCTAATGTATCAAGAAGTGTCCATTCTTCTCACTCTCAATTTCATCTGGCTTTTAAGTTCATCGTAATAAAAATCACTCATTTTGTTAACTTAAGTAACTGTTGTCTGATATCTGAAGATACAAGAAAACATTTTAATAAAAGATTAATTTGTAAGTCTGGTTTCTGGAGTTTATTCCTTTTCATTTTATGGTCAATCAGTGGCCATGTTTAAAAGCACATACAGAGCATAAATGTGTCAAGTATCTATTACAGCCCTTTACCTGGATTCAAATTTTAAAATTAGCTGGAAAGCTTCATATGACTAACTATTGCTTAAGGGATATCATGCAATCTCACGAGGGTCCGGTTTAAAGCAACTTATTTTGTACAGAGTGCTTGCTAATACGTGAGAGACCAAGTAAGGGAAACTGTAGAGGATCTAGTTATAATCTGTAATTTGTAAACTGTGAAGAAATTAGGCTTTGATTGCACACAGATTTATAAACCTCTATTCAAAATGCTTTCCAAAGGAAAATAAGATTTCTGTTTTCTCTTTCTCTCAACTTTATTTCTCTGTTCTCTGCCCCAGTTTCTTCAGAAACTTCTGAATCTAGTGCCCCATTTCAATCAAATTTGAGAGGGGAGAAAAGTTCAGAATAATTTTCTGTTGTTTCATGAATGAAGATGTTCAAGGAGGAGAGATGCCTTAAGCAGCTTTGAAGGAAACGCTGTGTTTAAGAGCATTCTTTATTGGAAAGCCATCAGAGAAGCCATTATTGGAGCACAAACCTGAGAGATATATTTATAGGATACTGGACTTCATAGGTTCCATCAAATTTCATGGTATGGTTATTTTTTTCAGCAGAATTATTTTAATGTTTTAAAATTCAAACTTTCAAATAATATACAAGTGAGAACAGTGTAAGATTATATATGAAACTCTGGAAAAGTCACTAACAAAGATTGTGATGTGACTTGTAAGTTGCTATTATTTATTTACATGCTATATTGAGCTGGTGTACTGATACTAATAAGACCATAGAAATATAGGGACTTTACGGGGTGGAAATTTAATGGAAGTGTGAAGTGCTGAATCATAGTTAAAATTTGCAGTGGCGGAATATGAAATCCTATCATTCTCTCAGGTTTTACGTGGATCTGGTATATTTTGAAAGCGATATTGCAATATTCTCATCCATTTAATGGATAAAAAAAAAAAAAAAAAGACAATTATTCTAAATGCGTTCACCTGCAGAGCACTTTTAAATGCCAGATTTTAGGAGTTCCTTATACATAGCCTCGAGCCACAACATTTAATGCAAGTATTTTGGTTTTGGTCTATGAGAATGGGAATATTGGTTCAAGATGGAATTCCTTGTGACATACAGCCAGGTCCAATGAAAATTGTTGCCAGGACCTGAAAATTACCTGGTATGTATGAGGAAATAACACAGAGCAGAAGAAGAGTTCCATAGGGTTGAGGATCTAGCTGGACACAATATAGTATGTTCAGGTCTGTGTGAGTCAGTGTCCTGAATATCTTGACAAGTTGAAGAGTACACAACAAGTGCAATAAAAATAGCTTCAAAGTGGAAGAGAGAAAGCGGCAAACTGAACTTGTACATCTTGGCTCCATGACAGCCAACACTCTACAAAAGCATCATGACAATTTATAAATACTTAAATGGTGTACAGAAAAAGAGGAGAATTATGTAGTTCAGTGAACAGGATATAGAACTGATGGTGAACTGAAATAAAATTAAATTGTTCAGTTCTCAAACATAGTTCCTTTAATGCTAAATTTCCTTCCTGCAACAGTCCACCTCAAAGGAGGAGGAGGAAGCCTCCTTTCTGGAAAAACACTAGTAAATGGCCATTAGTGAACAAGCCTACACAGATGGAAGGTGTAACTCATAACAAATTCCTAGTTCAACAACATATAACTCTGAAGGAACTAATGCAACCATATTGTTTGACCTACTTAGTGGTGGATAGGACATTCCTAAAGCAGTTCCTGATTGGATTAGATTTCCTTTTTACTTATTGCATATGGTTGCAACCCTTAGTGTCTAGGTCATTATGCAACTTATTTTTTCCATTTCTTCAGCTAAAATATTCTTTATGCAGTAAACCAAAGCTAGAAGATAGACAGTTTGAGAGCATGGCTGTGAGCCCTGTGCTTGTGAGGGAGGAAAAGGAGGGGGAGCGGGAGACTGGAAAATGATCTGTTCTGCTTCTTTGTTCTCTCTTTACAGTTTGTTTTGCTGCTGAACACATCATATAAGAAAAATAGGTATGTTTTTGTATCTCAGGACTAGTGGAAGATGGATATTCTCTCACTACTGGAGAGAAAAGTTTAAAGGTATTCCACACATCTTGATGTATATATTTCCAGAATGAAAAATGAAAATTAAGGAAAGATTTCTAATTTACATGTAGTCAAAGAAAAGAAGGAATTAAGTGAGAATACCCTGTTGATAAATACTTAGTCCAATAAGTCAACTGGGTGAATTCCCTAGTAGAATTACCTGGAAACTGCAATAGATTTCTGGCCGTGTGGTCCTGGGGCACCCAGCTTATGCTATCGACTGGTGCAGATGGAGCACTGGATGTCAAGCTGCCTCCTTCTGATCAGTCTGTTTCTTGTACACATTTAAAGAACACATAAATCTTCCAGTCTGGCAAATATGAGATGCAGGGCTGTCCCTTCTATAGGATTCTTAGACCATTGCTTAGTATAAAGAAGAGTTGTGTTCATAGTCAAGAACTTTCCCCTAGCTTCTCTGATGGACCTATCACACAGGGCTGGCCATGGCAGCAGCTAAATGAGAAGCAAAAGCAGAGCAGACCCTCTGTGACATAGAACACATAGGTTTCTTCTATGATTTGAATTCTTTGTTAAGTGTGAGCTCACACACAGAGTCATATATTGGTTTCTCCACAAACATGCTCTCTCTATCCTAATTGTAATTCACTTTTTTGTCTCAATAGACCTAATCTGGAGCTGCATTTGCCTAGGCCTTGGTGCTTGATTCCACTGTATTCGTGAAATGTTATTTTCTCAAACCTAGCCTGCATCTTTCCTTTCCTTTTCCTTTCCTTTCCTTTCCTTTCCTTTCCTTTCCTTTCCTTTCCTTTCCTTTCCTTTCCTTTCCTTTCCTTTCCTTTCCTTTCCTTTCCTTTCCTTTCCTTTCCTTTCCTTTCCTTTCCTTTCCTTTCCTTTCCTTTCCTTTCCTTTCCTTTCCATCTTTCCTAAAGAGGCCTCCAAAGAGGAACACTGCTGTAGTGCCTATGCAGAATTATCCAAGTGATAATAGTTAAGTTGTACAACAAAAGATGCACCTTTTTAAAAACCTTTAAAGCTGTTCACAAACTGACTGCTTTATGTACATACATCTCTTCAGCCATTTTCTCCCCATGTCAGTTTACTGATCACACGCATCCGTGGCTCTTGCTTTAAACTAGTCTCTGCCACTGACTTTTACATGCATGAAGTTGCAGAGCCCTGCAGTAATCATAGAATAGAATCATAGAATTACGGTTGGAAAGGACCTTAAAATCATCGAGTTCCAACACCCCCGCTGTGGGCAGGGACACCTTATATGCTAAATCATATCACCCAAGGCCTTGTCCAACCTGGTCTTGAACACTGCCAGGGATGGAGCGTTCACAACCTCCCTGGGCAACCTATTCCAGTGCCTCACCACCCTCACAGGAAAGAATTTCCTTCTTATATCCAATCTAAACTTCCCCTGTTTAAGTTTTAACCCGTTACCTCTTGTCCTGTCGCTACAGTCCCTAATGAAGAGTCCCTCTCCAGCATCCCTATAGGCCACCTTCAGATACTGGAAGGCTGCTATGAGGTCTCCACGCAGCCTTCTCTTCTCCAGGCTGAACAGCCCCAACTTTCTCAGCCTGTCTTCATACAGGAGGTGCTCCAGCCCCCTGATCATCCTCGTGGCCCTCCTCTGGACTTGTTCCAACAGTTCCATGTCCTTTTTATGTTGAGGACACCAGAACTGCACACAGTACTCCAGGTGAAGTCTCACAACAGCAGAGTAAAGGGGCAGGATCACCTCCTTCGACCTGCTGGTCATGCACCTCTTGATGCAGCCCAGGATACGGTTGGCTTTCTGGGCTGCAAGTGCACACTGAAGCCGGCTCATGTTCATTTTCTCATCAACCAACACCCCCAAGTCCTTCTCTGCAGGGCTGCTCTGAATCTCTTCTTGGCCCAACCTGTAGCTGTGCCTGGGATTGCTCCGACCCAGGTGTAGGACCTTGAACTTGTCATGGTTAAACTTCATGAGGTTGGCATCAGCCCACCTCAGAAGCGTGTTGAGGTCCCTCTGGATGGCATTCCTTCCCTCCAGGGTATCAACCGAACCACACAGCTTGGCGTCATCGGCAAAATTGCTGAGGGCGCACTCAATCCCACTGTCCATGTCAGCGACAAAGATGTTGAACAAGACCGGTGCCAACACCGATCCCTGAGGGACACCGCTCATTACTGTTCTCCAGCCGGACATTGAGCCATTGACCACAACTCTTTGTGTGCAGCCATCCAGCCAGTTCTTTATCCATCGAGTGGTCCATCCATCAAATTGATGTCTCTCCAATTTAGAGACAAGGATGTCGTGTGGGACAGTGTCGAACGCTTTTCACAAGTCCAGGTAGATGACATCAACGGCTCTAGCCCTGTCCATCAGTTCTGTAGCCCCATCATAGAAGGCCACCAAATTGGTCAGGCAGGATTTCCCCTTAGTGAAGCCATGCTGGCTGTCACCAAGCACCTTGTTGCTTTTCATGTGCCTTAGCGTGCCTTCCAGGAGAATCTGCTCCAAGATTTTGCCAGGCACAGAGGTGAGACTGACTGGTCTGTAATTCCCTGGGTCATCCATTTTCCCCTTCTTGAAAATGGGGGTTATATTTCCTTTTTTCCAGTCGTTGGGAACTTCACCTGACTGCCATGATTTTTCAAATATGATGGCCAGTGGCTTAGCAACTTCATTTGCCAGCTCCTTCAGGACTCACGGATGGATTTCATCAGGTCCCATGGACTTGTGCACGTTCAGATTTTTAAGACGGTCTTGAACCAGTTCCTCTCCTACAGTGGGCACCAGGTCTTCATTCTCACAGTCCCTGTGTCTACCTTCCAAGGCTTGGGTGGTTTGGTCAGAGCCTTTGCCAGTGAAGACCAAGGCAAAGAAGTCATTCAGAACCTCAGCCTTCTCCAAATCCTGTGTAGCCAGTTCTCCTGAGAGCTTCCTGAGGGGGCCTGTATTCTCCCTAGTCTGTTTTTTATTTGCTATGTACCTGTAGAATCCCTTCCTTTTATCTTTAATACCTCTAGCTCAGTTCAATTCTAACTGGGCCATAGCTTTCCTAACCTGGTCCCTAGCTTCCCAGACAACATCCCTGTACTCTTCCCATGCCACCTGTCCTTGCTTCCACTTATTATAAGCCTCCTTTTTCATCTGAATTTTCCTCAGGAGCTCCTTATCCATCCAAGGAGGTCTCCTGGCCCTCCTGCTGCACTTCCTTCTGGTTGGGATGCAACACTCCTGAGCTTGTAGCAGGTGATCCTTGAATATCAACCAACAGTCTTGGGCCCCCCTGCCCCTAGGGCTGTATCCTATGGATGCTTACATATAGACTCTGTGAATGCCAAGGCCTGGCTGAGAGGCTCTCTGAAGTCCCAGGAGAAACCTACAAAAAAAAGATTTCAGGTTTGAAAGTGGAGATAATAAATTATTTGAAGCGAAGGCTCCGAGTTCCATGTGCTTGTGCAGGATCCAGCACACTCCTGCCTTGATTATGCCCAGAGCTCTTGAATCCTGTTATTGTATGTGAAAAACGCAGGTTGTATTATTTTATTTATAAACTGTATCATTTTCCTCTTTTTCCCATTGTCACCATGAACGTCTTTTATCTTCCCTCAACATAGCTAGAATTTTTTTCACCTTTTATGAATATTTGTCTTCCTATCTATCGTATATTACTTTGGAAAGGAAAATGATACTTTTTAGCAGTTAAATAAACAATAAGCCTAAGTTTTAAACCAACAAAGCCATGATACTCAGTATTCCAGGGTTGAACCCTGCAGTTTGTCCTCCGTTGCTCCCAAGGCTTACACCAGCTCTAAAATAAATGGGCAGAGTCCCAAATACTGAGGCTGACTTGTTATCTCTATATGTACTTTTCAGATAACAGGCATTAAATAATTCACTATACAAAGTCTTATTTCAATTAAAATGGTAAAACTGATAAAGAAGTTTTCTTTACTTTTGGGAACAGATCTCTGGCTTGTAATTGCATTAATTACAAATACACAGCTGAAAAGTTATTCAAATGCAAATTTTCTTAATGAGAAGAAAGCAAGTGGGAGTATAATTTTTAGTTGTCGCAGTTAATGAAAGTATTTGATTTTGTTTTAATTGCACTTTTAATAAAATAAAGTGCTCTCACGGTGATGAGATTTCACTAATACAGCATCAGCTAACAGCAGTGCTAGAATTTGCAAAGGTTGCTGATGTTAAAGATGGATCAGCTGGTGATGGGCTCTCAGTGGAGGTAAATGAAACAAATAACAACCACTCCTGGGCAGAGCTGTGCATGGTGCGGTGCTGATCTCTGGCGGACAGCAATGTACTAAGGGATGTCACCAAAGTAAAGCACTATTCAGATAATTTATGCCCTAGAAGTACAAGGGGAGGAGTAAATAGAGCGATGTCTGGGCCCCAGTGTTTTCATAACTTTGAACCATGGAGGAGGAAGTTGAGAGAACTGTTGGGTCCAGCCTGTCTCCACTGTTCTGAGTGCAAGAATCATCGTGAAAATACCCACATGAGCTTCTGTAAGCGACCCTGAGTTTTAATTAAAAAACAAATAAAAAAGAACTTTGAGTTGGAAAAAATCTATTTACCTCATTTTGTTTGCTTGCTTGCATTGAAATATGTTTGTGCACTCACTGCAAGAAAGTAAGTTCAGAGAATCATAGAATCATAAAATAGTTAGGGTTGGAAAGGACCTTTAGATCATCTAGTTCCAACCCCCCTGCCATGGGCAGGGCAGGGACACCTCACACTAAACCATATCACTCAAGGCCTCGTCCAACCTCGTCTTGAACACTGCCAGGGACGGAGCATTCACAACCTCCCTGGGCAACCCATTCCAGTGCCTCACCACCCTCACAGGAAAGAATTTCCTCCTTATATCCAATCTAAACTTCCCCTGTTTTATCCCGTTACCCCTTGTCCTATCACTACAGTCCCTAATGAAGAGTCCCTCCCCAGCATCCCTATAGGCCCCCTTCAGATACTGGAAGGCTGCTACTCACACCTCCAGGGAGAACTGCATTCTTCAGCCATGAGAGACCACTCAGATTTCCAGGGATCTGTATCATAGAAGTGAGTTCCAGAAGGGCTTGCTCCATTTGCAGACAATTTAGGAAGGGCAAAAAAGGTAAAATGAATCAAGTCAATAGGAATGTTTTCATTTAACTCTAATTATAATTAACAGAGTTGAAGGTGTAATAAAAGTTTCCCATAATACATCTCAGCTGTTTGCATCACATGTACTGAAGAAATCTAGTTATTTTTATCATTTTGACAGAATATAATTTGGTATAGAGAAAGTGCTAATTTTATAATTTTTTTTCTTTTCAAAGAAGCAATTATTTCAGAGGTACATACATGGCAAATCAATTGTTCATCAGTATTATGCACAAATGAAATCTGTGGAAAAAAATGCATATTTTAAATTGAAAAGATTCACCATAGAATCCTGATAAGCTTTCACCTGCTGTTAATTTTCCTCTGAGACGGAAACACTACCAAGCAGCAATGTCTAAGCACATCTTTCTTAGGGTGGAAATGCATGCTTTAAGATAAAAACTTCTAACAGATTTTGATCCCAAGCAGCAACCCATAGAAGCCTGTGGAGATCTCTCAGATAAATTTAATAGAATCGGATATGTAAGGCCCACGCACATGACAATCTCCATGTTTTACAAAGGAAGAATAAGGGTTACAGGAGTGAAGGGT